TATATATATATATATGTATGTTATCATCATTGTCGCCCTGTCGGTACATCAGCAGATAGGAGCTGGGCGTGCTCCTCATAGATTAGGGGAAAAAAGTAACTGCGAAGGATAGGAGGCCGAGCGGCACTCAACCCCTTTAACTGAGGTGCCAGTGTGCTGAAGTAAATCACACATATACCCAAGCAAGCAAGCAATCAATCAATCACATTTACTGATATTCTTATCGACGCGCTCTCTTGTATCGATAAACGTTTCATCTTCAGACGGCGGACGGTGTGAGAATGATAATGACGATGATGCTGAGGAGCCACGGACTCTGTGTACGGCGGTGGCGCCCCACGTCATCATCTATTTTCCTCCACTTGCGGCAGCTGTCTCATCGCGGAATGGGGGAACAGCAGGGGAATCTGCGTCATGGCAATGACAGTAACAAGCCTGACAACAAAGATGGAGGCGGCAGCGCGAGTGCCAATACTTCTGCTGCTGCTGCTGCTGCTGCTGATGAACCGTTCATCGCACGCACCGGCGAGACGGCGGGCATCAATGGGCTCTACGGCAACCGGGCGCAAAACGCCATTCGTGGTATGTTAGGGCCACAGGGACAAGCCGAGGCGCGTGAGTCGAAGGCGGTGCCGATTTTAGGAAGAGCCACCGTACACGGCACAAAGTACACGTGCGACCGATCGACGGTGTTCGAAAACTGGCGCCACGTGTGTCAGCCGCCGGTGGGATGGCACATTTCAAAGCTCGGCAGCGCCACGTGCAAGATGCCCAATGACATCAACGAAGCCGTGGAGTCACTGCAGCTGCAGATCATAAAGGGATGCAATGTGTTTGAACTTGACGGCAGTATGTCGGATGTGCACCAAAGCGTCGCACGCGCCTTTTATGAAGCGCTGCAGGCGTTTGAGTTGGAGCGCGAAGGATTCGTGGTGGTGTTCCGCTGCGGCATCATCAAGCAGCAGCCGTTCCAGGAAGAGATAACACAGGTAGAGTCATCCAACACGACGGTGGTACGGAACCGCATCGTTCCGATCTTTGAGCGCTACAAGGCTTCTTCTCTCCCGTCGATGCAGCTCAAGACGGGATTTCGCATCAGCGACCTGAGCGACGATCAGCTCTCACGCTTGAATCTTCGCCGTGTGTCAAAAACGTCCGCGGCGGGTCTCTCCCCGGATTGGCTGGAGGCATTCTTCACGAATGTTGCGTACAACACGAAGCTGGAATGCATTGACGTCCTACTGATGGACGGCTTCCACACACTGTTCGATGGGCGCCTCGACGCACACATCGATGACGACATTCTTCAGCTGTTCGCGTACCTCGAGAACCAGGTGAAGCTCGGTGTGCTGCAGTACTACGGCATATCGTCACCGTACCTTGCGCCGCACATTCACCGCGACTACCCGACGCTGCCACCCGATGCGATGGTGCCCGACCACATTCGCAACCGCAGGCCCCTCCCTCCAGTGATTAATCTTTACCGCGTGCTGGAGCTGGCGCGACGCGCTGGTGGCGACAACCACCATTTCCGCTTCGTGCAGTATCCGTTCAACCTCACCTTTTCTCAGGCCCTTAACAAGCCGCTGCCATACGATGGCAATCACACCCTTCGTTCGCTGACGCAGGCGTTGGGGCTGACGACGTTGGGGTACAGCCCATTGGAGGCAACGGATCTGATGGAGCTGCCGCAGCGCTACCACAACTTCCCAATGGAGTCGGACCTCAAGTCTCTCCGCATGAACTTCTTTACCGTGTGCGAGCGCTGTGTGCTGAAGGAGATGGAGGTGAAGGAGTCCATAGAAAAGGGGCCGTCAACTCTACCACCGCTGGAGCATCTCTTTGTGGCGAGTGTGTACCTTGCGGCGCAGCGGCAGTTCACCAACCTTTTCTTCTTCACCAGCTGGGCGACCTACTACATGATCCCGCGCTTCCGTCGTGCGCTGATGCGCTTCAAGGAGGCCTCCTCCGCAGACCTCAAGGAGTGGTGCAAGCAATACGAGCAGCTTATCAACGATATGCTTCGGCTTCGAAAACGTATGTTTGAACACAAGTTCGGCAAGCGGGCGTTAGAGAAAAATGCCGCGATCGATCGCGTGAGCCCAACGCTGGCTATGTGCCCAATGCTGAACCAAAAGGCCCTCAACTTTTCAACGTACGGATGCGACACCGTCCTTGCCGGCTTCCACGTGTCGCGCTACTTCCACGAGGCGACCGAGTTGAACCCCGCCAAAAACGGCGAGCTGCCGGTGCCAGAGGGGGAGATCGCGGCGCTGTGCGACTCAATGGACGTGTCCTTCGCCAACTGCTCCCCACCGGACCCATACATGCTTGAGCCTATCGTTACGGAAGGAAAGCTATCGAAGCAGCGGAGCAAGTCGCTGGACTACATGGTGAAGATCGATCCGCACAACCCAAAGTTTCCAGACATCCCCGAAGAGTTGGAGGAGGGCGGCGCGACAACGCAAGACACATGAATGGGCTGACAAAGCAAGTAGAGCGGGGACTTTCCTCCCGCGTATTGTGCGCTGATGCATAACGCACTCACACTGTACTGCACACGTCAGACGGGCACAGGTGCATATGTCTGTTTCTGTTTTCCCTTGCTCGATCGATGCGGCGCCAGGAGCCTTGATGGCGTTTTGGCTTCATCTTCACCGCTGGGAGTTTATCTTTCACGCACTCACCCAGAACTGAAGGAATAACGAGGCTTGGGATTGTCTCGCCTACTTGTTTCTGCTTGGCAGCGTTATGAGCGCGGATTGAAGAATCTCTTCTTCAGCACGCGAAGAAGACGACCATGAAAGGGCTGCTTCACGCATAATGTGTGTGTGTGTGTGTGTAAGTGCGTGTGTGTGCAGCAAAAAGTCGTGAAAACGTATGATTGTAGTGGCTCCTTTAGTTGTGGTGGATCCGAACCCTGATTCACGACGATAGGCTAGGTACAAAATGGGCTTATTGCCCACCTTTGTTTAGCTCATTCCTTTTAGGAGTGTTGTGACCGTGCGGGTTTTGAGTGGAGACCTCGACACTCCTGATTAACCTTCTGTACAGCCGTGCCCTTTTTTTTTTCGGATGCGCAGCTCGTGATTGGATGGGCCGCGCCGCAGGAAGGAAAGCGGCAGTGGTGGCTCCTACCCCACAGTGGCGCCGTGGGTTGGCGTCGGGGCTGTTAATGCCCCCTCAGTTGTGGAAAGGAAGGCTGCAAAGAGAGGTTTGTGTATGCGCGTGGAAAAGGGGCTAGCTCATTGTTATTGCGCACTCTGATGGTGACAACTCAGCGAGGCCAATGACGTTACTTTTGCTATAAGGTAAAGCTTATTTTGATTCGTGGCACGGGTGACCGTCGTATTGCCAAATTTTGTGTATCGTTGGCTTTATCACTGGCGTCGCTGTTGTTGCGGGATTCTTTTGAAGGTGCGGGATGTAGGGTCTGTCTGTGTGTGTGTGTGTGTGCACTTCTCACCTGAAGAAGTGATAGTGGCGTCGGACAAACAGTGAAAGGAGTTAGCCCGTCTCTCCTCGCTGTTCTCTTAAGGCCGCCACCAGCGACAGCTGTAGAAGGAAAGGGGCTGTTTTAGTTGCGTTGTTGCCCCCAGCTGCTCCTGTTGTTGTTGTTGTTGTTGTTTTGCTTCGATGTCTCACAACCAAAGGGAGCCACATGGGAAATGCCTCTTACCGCGGTGCGCGTCATCAGCGGCGTCTTCGGCGGGCAGGAGGAGCGTGGCGAAGGCGAGCGGCTGGCTGACCGTGTTGTGAAGGCGTTTCCCGGTGTGAAGGTCATACCGCCAACACTCACCGATGCAATGCCACTCGTGGAGCGTCTTGCCGGCGTAGACAACGGCTTCCTGTGGGTTGACTGCGGCTACAACAGCAGTGATGAGGGCACCATGCTCACTGCGCCGGCTCACCGCCACAGCGTGAACAGCTACCTTGGCAGCGACGCACTGGGATGGTACTGCAGCGGCTTTATACCTGCACTTGTACGCCTGCTCCTGCTGCGCGAGGAGACAGGCGCTGCTGCCGCAATGCCGGATGCGGTGCGGCTGCAGTGGTTCGCTGTGCGCTCCTTCGACGCCAAAGTTGTGGACTTAGTTGACCCTTTCGTCCCCAGCAGCACTGGGCGCAGCGCACCACATCGCCCACGCGAAGATGCCTCCTCCTCTTCTTCCCCCTCCTCCTTTTCTTTATCGTCGGCGTCGTCGCTGAGGCATTTGGTGCTTCGTGACGTGCGCGGGTTTCTGGAGCACGTGGAGCGCGTGGCGGCGACACCGTCCTTCAGCCGAGCGCGCGAGCGCCTCTCGCATGTCTTCTGGCTCACGTGGCGGGGCGTGTCGTGCGTTACGTGTGTCCTGCATGAGGCGCACACCAGTGGGTTCGCGCGCGTTCTCGACCCCTCTGTCGACCTTCGCGGGCAGCAGGACTACCCGCTGTCCTTCCTGCGTACCATGCAGGCCGTCAAGGTCGGCTTGTCACTCAACACGAGCGTCTTCCGTGCGTCACGCGTGCTGCCAGAGACCGCGCCGCTATCGTGCTGGTGTGTGCGCATCGGCAGCCACCAGTGGGAGGATCCACTCGGCGTTCTTCCGTTGCTGCAGCGGCTACAAGGCACACCGAATGGCGGCGAGGCGCTGTCCACGTCGTCGTCGAGTCGCGGCCTCTCGTGTGGTTCCACACATGAACAGATAGGGCGGGCGAAACGGCAGATGTCGAGTCGTGGCAGCACCGTTCGCCGCATTATGTCTGTCGAAGCTGCAATAGGAGAGCAAGACACCGATGCGGCGGCAGCGGCGTCACGCTGCCTGGCTGTCACACATACTCGAGAGGTATTGGTGCTGGAGAAGGAGCGATTGCAGCACATGGAGACGGAGGCACGGGAGGCTAAGGAGCGTCGCGTGCTGCTGCAGCACGAGACGGATGCACTTCGACAGGAGACATCTGCGCTGCGCGCGCACATCGACTCGCTGCGTCGCATCGCGGGGGCAGACAAGAATGTTCACCATTGCGCTGTCAGTGGCACTAGTTGGGTAGAACAGCAGCAGCAGCAGCAGTACACTCCACATCGTGTAGCGGCGCACTACGGGGACGTGGAGGAGCAGTTGCAGCGCCGCCACCAGGCACAGCTGGCGAAGGTAATCGAGCAGCAGGACATGGCGCAGGCGCAGCTCAAGCGATTCAGCGCGGATCAGGCGGAAAAGCGTCGCGTCGAAGAAGAGATTGCGCAGGAGGAGCTGCAACGGCTTCAGGATGACGCTGATGCTGCCGAGGCTGAGATACTGCGCCTCCAGCAACACGAGATGAAGCTTTCTATGCAACAACGCCTCCAAACAAGCAGTGTCACGTTAACACAGGAGCTGGATTCGCTACAAGGCAGCGCGGATGATGTGGCGAACACGTCACAGCTACTGCTTCTGAATAGGTCCCGCGAGATGAGGCGTGTTGAGGCTGAGGTGCAGCTGCTGCAGGACGAGGTGGATGCCACACGCAAGTGGGTGCTCCGTATGTCGGACGCGGGAGAAGAAAAAGAGTTGCAGGTCATGCCGACCTCGCAACACCAGAAGCAGCAACGTTGGCTGCGAAGCGCAGCGTGGCGAACCTTGCAATGGCGTGAGGCGCTTGGACGCGTGCAACTTGAGGATGAATGGCTAGCTGCCCTCCTGGCGTGCTGGAGATGGCGCATGCTGGAGTGCTGCGCGCTCACCTCCGCTTCGGCCCCCTCACCACTAAAGACGGCGCTTCGCAAGGCCAACGAGGACTACGCGGCGCTGCAGCAGGAATGGGAGCAGGAGCAGCGGCTGCAGACGATTCGTCACCGCCGCGTGGAGGAGGCAGTCGAGGACGCGAAGCGGCACAACGCGGACGTGCAGCGGGAGCTGAGAGAACTGCGGGCGCGGTGCAGCGCATCCACACGCGAGCAGCAGCGCACCGTCGCGGAGATGCGCGCGGCAACACAGCGGGCGCTGCAACGCATTGCAGCCGTCGTGGAGTGGCTCACACGCGAAGAAAACGAGGTGCGCAACAACAACAGCGGAAGCGGGTCATATGCCGGTGTGCGTCGGGCGGTGCACGCTGCGCTGCGCGTGGGGTGTCATCTTGGCCCACGAACCACTCGGCAGAAGACACTTGCAGAGTCGCACGGCGGCAGTCGCGCGCAGGATGGCTGGTCGGAGGAGTTGACACCGGCGTCGCTCTTGCTGGTGCAGCAGGCGTGCGATGGTTATCTGCGTCTCTGCGAGGGCTTAGAGCAACGGCAGAAACTGCGAGGGGAAGTGGACCGCGTGTCGGAGTCGTGTGGCTTGATGGAGGCGGCGCTGACAAGGACACGACAGCGCATGCTGCAGGAGCAGCAGACGGTGCGCCAGCTTGCTGCTGTCGCTGCCAAGCTGGAGGAGCTAGAGAGGAACTAGAGCTGTGTGAGCCGTTGCGGTGGTCGCGCCTCGTTTGCTTGAGAGGAGCAGGTTGAGGGTATTGCCCGTGGGTTGGGGGGTGGAGAACAACCAAACAATGGTTTTTTTGTTGAGTTTTCAGGGTGTGTGCGTGTGTGTCTCCACTGCAACATTTACTGCGGCACCCTTCATCATATCCTGTCACTTCTTCATGTTCTGCTTGGTTGGCTTCGCTAGATTTTGCCAGGAGTCGCGTGGAGGACGCGAGAAAAGAAGGTGAATATTTTTTTTTTGGCTCGTGCTCCTACCTGGACCCGTGGGGAAGTGTCAATGATGCGAAGCTGGCGACTCTCGCCGCAGCTGCTGTTGCTGCTGCTGGTGGTGGTGGTGGCGCGGTGTGCAGCAGCACTTCCGCCTCTCACAACTCCAGTCGACCACGCGATCCACTTCGACCGCCGGACCGGCGCGACCTCCAAGGCGTCGACGTCATTCGGCTCACAGGCGTCGCTGCTGCGCGGCAGCATCCTTCTCTTCGATCCCGCCGCCACCACGTCGTACAAGCGGCGGTCGGTGTTCATTCCCAGCGAGGTGCACATCACGCAGGCACAGTGGGAGCAGCTGGCGGCGCTGCCGGTGCGCGGTGTTGTGGCTGCCACCTCGCCCTTTGACACACGCAACGAGGAGCTGCTGCAGCACTATCTCTCCCACACGGCGGTGCCGTTTCCGGTCTACTTTCTCCCGCAGGACGGTGAGGCGGCGCGGAAGTTGCGCGACACTATCGTGGCTATGAGCCCCAGCGAGTACGCCGTCGTCTCCATTGGCGCTAACGAGAAGGCGGTGGCACCGGTGGCGAACACCTCCGTCAGGGCCCTCCACATCTACGCTTCCCTTGCTGTGAGGCCGAAGGAGGTGAAGGCGAAGGCAGAGATGCCGCGACTGCTCATTACCGCGGCGTTCGACACGCTCGGCGTCGCGCCCACCGCCCTCACGACGGGCGGCGCCTCCAGCACAGTTGCGGCGCTGGAGCTGTGGCGTCGGTTTAACGCAGAGGCCGCGCTTGCTGTGGAAAACAGTGCTGCAGATGCAGCAGCGTTATCATCACCGTATGGAGTTTCATTACTGCTCGGTAGCACAGGTCGCTTTAACTACGTTGGTACGAGCCGGTGGATCTCAACTCAGCCGGAAGGCGAGCTTGACAGCTACGTTCTTGTCATCTGCCTGGATGAGTTGCTGCTCTCCGGCGCCAGCAGCCACGATGATGACGATGATGACGATGATGATGATGTCGAGAAGAAGAACGCCGGCGGAAGTGCAAGCCGTGCGGTGAGGCTTTTCATGCACGTGCACGACTCCTTCGCCAAAAGCCCACAATACGCGAAGGTAAAGGAGACTGCGGAGACTCTGGCCGCGCAGCGCGGCATCGAGCTGACGGTCCTCTCCGCCAAAACGAACTACAATCACTACGACATCCGCTTTGAGCACGAGGTGCTGGCGCACCGGCA